CCAGTGTTGGTCGAGGGAAAATGGTTTCTCTCTCCTTCCTTTTTTGTGGGTGTGGAGGGGAGAGCGGTTTCTATTTGACTACAATTAGTTTCTAACTAATCACCTTTTTTGGGTGGAGAGTGGTTTCTCCTAGCCTCCAGTATCTCAGGGTATAGAAAACGAGCCATCCCGTTCGAGATAATAATTTAATACATAAGCTGTACAAGCACACGAAGCCACGTCGTCATCCTCGAATTGAATCGTAATTAACTCGTGGTCACTCTTGCCTTCGTGTGATGATGCCTTGCGATCTCGTGCTGGAATTGAATTCGGGGGAAAACAATTAATAAAGATAAGAGGCGAAAATAACATTAACACAATAACAATAACAAAAATAATAACCAAGATACTAAAAGACATATGACTGACCCACCTTCAAGCGCAGGGATTCTTAGAGAACAGCGGAATCTTGCTGAAGTTGTGAAGCTCGCACGCCAGGTCCTTGTAGTCGGCCTCCAGAGCGTCGAGCACGACCTTCACTCGCACCTTCTCGGTGTCAGTGCAGCCGCCGCAGAACGTGGCTCCCTGGGGCCCGGGGGCGAGGAGGTCTTGGGGGGGAGGGAGGGAGGTGTTATTTCAGTTGGGGGGGTGTTTTGTTTCTTTATCTGTTTGTCACTATTTTTCTTTCTTGCCTCTCTCTTTCTCTATATTTATATGAATATGGGTATATATCTACATGTATATGTATATATATACATATATGTATGTATATATACATATATATGTATATTCATGTATATATACATGCAACCTTTCTAACCCTCATCCTCTCTCCCTCTTTGTCTCTCACACTCATTCTTACTCTCACTCTGACTTTATATCTCTCTTAATTCTCCATATGCCCTGAACTAAACCACACTTGAACAGATCTGAACATCAGATCCCGGAAGCACAACTTACTACTGAGAGCGATGCCAACTTTGTTGCATGGGCCTGTGCCAACCACGCACTTGACGTAGAACTCAACATTGGAGCGGCTTTGCAAGTTCTCCTTCAACGCGGGCACGGTGAACTCCTCGAGGGTCTTGCGCGCTTCCAGCAACTTCTTGGTGTGTTCGGATTCTTGGGCAGAACCCAGGGAAACCGACAGCAAGGTTACCAACACGAAGGCGAATGCGGACGGATGCATCTTCTGCGGGAACAAAATGGGACTTGGTTAGGATTCTATTTTACAGGTAGGACTCAAAAAAACGGGTTGACAGATGGGCGTGGAAGATCACACACATTCGCACAGATCAGGCACAAGAAGGGGTAGAAAAGGAAAAGAAATTGCTTATGCCGAGGTCCCTTAGTTATATGGATTCTCCAGGGTTTTCCGAAACAGTGCAAAGGGCCTTTGGTATATTCGTGTACTTTCTTGTTCTTCCCTTCGTTGCTCTATTTACACTTTCACATACTTGAAAACACAAACGTAGAGGTATGCTCTCCTTCATACAAACATACTGATATGTATACACGTGCACACACAGATACATAAACACAATCGCACACAGGCATATACTTATACAGTCAGGTACACATAAATTCAGATAAATTATATACACTCCGTTACATGCACAGTATATATGTGCGTGCGAGCGTGTTATTACTAAACACAAGTTTAATACAATATGATTGAAATAGATCTTATCTCTAGATGGTAAGTGATAACAGTACAGGTAATCCTTTAGGTAGCTCACTCACATATGTAAAAGTGTATAGAGACATACAGATATATACATTTTGGTAGGCTGACGGGCATAAAGGGAGGTAGACAGATAAACAGATATATTAGGTAGGTAAATAGACAAAAATGTAGCTGTGTGTCTCTACTTATATTCACACATATATCCACACAAGCATACCTTTTCTTGAAGACAGGAGAAGTGTGCTAATGCTGGTATGTCGCTGGAATACCCTCATCGCCTCCACGGGCATCCTTATATACCAATGCCCTTTCTAACGCTTCTGGTCCGAGCGCCTTCCCCCCCCCCCCCCACCTCTGAGCCTCTACCCACATGCCCACTCCTATTCCCCTCCCCCTCCCCCTCCGTCATCGCCTGTTTCTCAAAGATCCAGTTGCGTTTTTTCCTATTCATTTTTTAAGCGTGTTCTTGTCTTGTTCTTGTACGTGAGGGTGACTGGTGAGGACCGGAAGTGCGGGGAGAAGAATACATGTACATAGAAAGACACATACAAGCATACATATAAGCCCCTACGAATGCACATACATAAATACATAAACACGAATACAAACACAAACACTCCACTCCTATCCACACACGCACACACACACACACACACTAAGACAACTACATTACTCACCTAAAGTGCATTTGCTTGGGTTGTCCAGGACGCAGGGAAGTGGTTGACAGTTGGTTGGCAGCATGACTGGTGTCAGGGAAATAATCGATAACCGTATTGTTGGCAGTTGGTTGGTAATGTGGCTAGTGTTAAGGAAATTCGGGTATTTGCCAAGGAGATTGTTTTGGCAATGTGAATGTTGCGGAGGAGCTCGGTAACTGTACGTTTGGCAGGGGAGCTTGGGCATTAAGTAGACATCGGTGACAGTACGTTTGGCAGGGAAACTGTTGGCAGGATGTTGGCAGTGTGAATCGCAGCAGGGGAGCCTAGGCAGCCCGAATGTTGGCAGAATGAGGTTTCATTGTGTTGTTGGCAGGGGACAGTCTACAATAGTGACAGCCAGCGCACTCTGCTGGTGTCAGTGGTGATGGTGATGGTAGTTCAGTCATTGTTTTATCCTTGTTCAACTGACTCTTCTTAAAGGATATAGGGATATATGTGCCAACAAGACTTGAAAATATATAGTATTACATAAGCCGTCAACTTGTTATTTGTTCAATATATTCAATTGTAATTATTAGTCCATCGTCATGCTTCCCGTGGAGCGGTAAAAAGGAATAACGGTCATGGATAGTGGGGCCGTTTTACCCTGTAAAACAAAAACAAAAAGAAAAAAATATTTGCAAGCCCTCAAGGAAGATGGGGCTGTCTGTGGATGAGTGGCGCAGGAACTTCCATGCTGATTATGGCTTTGAAATGACACTCAGTTGCTCAGTTTCCCAATTGATTAATTCAGTATTCAAGACAGGTCACCCTTCTCTCCTGTAGGTCCGTCGCCATGTCACTGTAAGATCCAAGGGGGCACGCATTCACACATTCAGGGTACACATGCACACGCTCGTCTGTCTTAACACATTTATTCAGTGGAAAGGAGCTCCTTGTGGAGTAGGGGTTTTGTCATGAGTTTTGTAAAGAAAAATAAGATAAACTATTCAATAGTCCAATATAACAACCTATTAGAAATAGATTTAATTCAAAACTCTATAAAAATAGCGAAAAAAAAACTAATACAATAAGACGTAACGAAAAATACAAGCATTTACGGTAAAATGGAAGATTTAGCCAACACATTAAAATCAATATAAATTGACAGAAAACACATGCATTATGAAAATATATACATTTAAAACGCGGACATACAAAAAAAATTGTAATTGCCCTTAAAAATTATAAAAAGGTGCCAAAACTTCATAATTCACTAGGGAGCAAACGAAAAAAAAGTTCGTATAAAATGCGTATATTCGTTAAACATGCTCAGGTTTCTAAAATGCCCGAATGCAAAATGTAAACAAAAACAGATTCAAGTCTATTTTTTCTTTTCTTTTTTTTAATAAATGATTCAACAATCAAAATCCACTTCAAAGCTTTAGCTAATATATATCTTAAAATAGATATTATGTAAAAACTCTTTGAATTCCTTGTCATAACATTAAAGAGAGAGGGAGAGAGAACGAGAGAGAGAGGAGAGAGAAAGTAGACAGATCGAGTCAGTAAGAGAAATTGTTTACCACTATAAAAGCCATTTGTACTTTTTTACGAGGGGAGAGAGCGGTTTCTAATGGTCTCTAATGTCTTCCCTCACCCCTTTTTTGAGAAACAGCGGTTTCTAGTCGTTTCCCTTTTGCGGGAGAGAAAGTGGATTCTCCCCTTATCCTATTTTTTGTGGGGAACGGTTTCTACTTGCCTCCAGTGTTGGAGGTTTCTAACTCCCTCTAATATATTTCCTTCCTTCACCCTTTCTTTTCTTTCTTTTTTTTGGTGGTGAGCTGTTTCTATCTCCAGTATTTAGGGGAGGAAGAGGGGTTTCTAATTCCCTTGAATATCCTTTTCCCCCACAAAGATTTATATTAATTTTTGTTTATTATTATTATTATTTTATTATGATCATTTTTGGTAGGGAGCGGTTTCTAGTGTTGGTCGAAGTTAAGTAGTTTCTAACTTTTTCAGGGAGAGGAGAAAGCGATTTCTGTTTGCCTCCAAATGGTTTCTAACTTTCAGTTTTTAGGGAGGTGGTTTCTCCTAGCCCCCAGCCTTTCAGGGTATAGAAAACAAACCATCCCGTTCGAGATTTACATTTATTGCCTAAGCTGTACAAGCACACGAAGCCACGTCATCATCCTTGAATTGAATCGTAATTAACTCGTGGTCACTCTTGCCTTCGTGTGATGATGCCTTGCGACCTCGTGCTGGAAAGGAAGACAACTAATAAAGAGGCGATAATAACAAAACAATACCTATAACGACAATTACTATATCCACAATGGTACCAAAAGACGCACGACTGACCCACCTTCAAGCGCAGGGATTCTTAGAGAACAGCGGAATCTCGCTGAAGTTGTGAAGCTCGCACGCCAGGTCCTTGTAGTCGGCCTCCAGAGCGTCGAGCACGACCTTCACTCGCACCTTCTCGGTGTCAGTGCAGCCGCCGCAGAACGTGGCTCCCTGGGGCCCGGGGGCGAGGAGGTCTGGGGGGAAGGAATATACATATGAATATATGTATATATGTGCATGTTTATATGTACATATGTATATACATATATGTATATGTATATATATATATACATGCAACCTTTCTAACCCTCATCCTCTCTCCCTCTTTGTCTCTCACACTCATTCTTACTCTCACTCTGACTTTATATCTCTCTTAATTCTCCAAATCCCCTGAACTAAACCACACTTGAACAACTCTGAACATCAGATCCCCGAAAGCACAACTTACTACTGAGAGCGATGCCAACTTTGTTGCATGGGCCTGTGCCAACCACGCACTTGACGTAGAACTCAACATTGGAGCGGCTTTGCAGGTTCTCCTTCAACGCGGGCACGGTGAACTCCTCGAGGGTCTTGCGCGCTTCCAGCAACTTCTTGGTGTGTTCGGATTCTTGGGCAGAACCCAGGGAAACCGACAGCAGGGTTACCAACACGAAGGCGAAGGCGGACGGATGCATCTTCTGCGGGAACAAAATGGGACTTGGTTAGGATTCTATTTTACAGGTAGGACTCAAAAAAACGGGTTGACAGATGGGCGTGGAAGATCACACACATTCGCACAGATCAGGCACAAGAAGGGGTAGAAAAGGAAAAGAAATTGCTTATGCCGAGGTCCCTTCGTTATATGGATTCTCCAGGGTTTTCCGAAACAGTGCAAAGGGCCTTTGGTATATTCGTGTGCTTTCTTGTTCTTCCCTTCGTTGCTCTATTTTCACTTTCACATACTTGAAAACACAAACGTAGAGGTATGCTCTCCTTCATACAAACATACTGATATGTATACACGCGCACACACAGATACATAAACACAATCGCACACAGGCATACACTTATACAGTCAGGTACACATAAATTCAGATAAATTATATATATTCCGTTACATGCACAGTATATATGTGCGTGCGAGCGTGTTATTACTAAACACAAGTTTAATACAATATGATTGAAATAGATCTTATCTCTAGATGGTAAGTGATAACAGTACAGGTAATCCTTTAGGTAGCTCACTCACATATGTAAAAGTGTATAGAGAGACATACAGATATATACATTTTGGTAGGCTGACGGGCATAAAGGGAGGTAGACAGATAAACAGATATATTAGGTAGGTAAATAGACAAAAATGTGGCTATGTGTCTCTACTTATATTCACACATATATCCACACAAGCATACCTTTTCTTGAAGACAGGAGAAGTGTGCTAATGCTGGTATGTCGCTGGAATACCCTCATCGCCTCCACGGGCATCCTTATATACCAATGCCCTTTCTAACGCTTCTGGTCCGAGCGCCCTCCCCCCACCTCTGAGCCTCTACCCACATGCCCACTCCTATTCCCCTCCCCCTCCCCCTCCGTCATCGCCTGTTTCCCAAAGATCCAGTTGCGTTTTTTCCTATTAATTTTTTAAGCGTGTTCTTGTCTTGTTCTTGCACGTGAGGGTGACTGGTGAGGACCGGAAGGGCGGGGAGAAGAATAAGGAGAATACATGTACATAGAAAGACACATGTAAGCATACATATATGCTCCAACGAACGCACATACGCATGTACCGCTCCACATACACATACGTACATACACAAACACGAAAACAAACACAACAAACATTCCACCACTATCCACACACACGCGCACTCACGCACTAAGACAACTGCATTATCGTCTAAAGTGCATTTGATTGGGTTGTTTAGGACGCAGCACACGTACCTGTTGGCAGGGAACTGGTTGACAGTTGGTTGGCAGCATGACTGGTGGCAGAGAAATAATCGATAATCGTACTGTTGGCAGTTGGTTGGCAATGTGGCTGGTGTCAAAGAAATTCGGGTATTTGTCAAGGAGATTGTTTTGGCAATGTGGATGTTGCAGGGGAGCGTGGGCATTAAGTAGACATCGGTGACAGTACGTTTGGCAGGGAAACTGTTGGCAGGATGTTGGCAGTGTGAATCGCAGCAGGGGAGCCTAGGCAGCCCGAATGTTGGCAGAATGAGGTTTCATTGTGTTGTTGGCAGGGGACAGTCTACAATAGTGACAGCCAGCGCACTCTGCTGGTGTCAGTGGTGATGGTGATGGTAGTTCAGTCATTGTTTTATCCTTGTTCAGCTGACTCTTCTTAAAGGATATAGGGATATATGTGCCAGCAAGACTTGAAAAGACATAGTCTTACATAAGCCGACAACTTTTATTCAATAAATTCAATTGTAATTATTAGTGCATCGTCATGCTGCCCGTGAACCGGTAAAACAAAAAGGAATAGCAGCCATGGATAGTGGGCCGTGTTTACTCTAAAAAAAAGAAATTCAAGCCCTCAAGGAAGATGGGGCTGTCTGTGGGCGAGTGGCGCAGGTACTTCCGTGCTGATTATAACTTTGAAATGACACTCAGTTGCTCAATTTACCCCAATGATTAATTCAATTTTCGAGACAGGGCACCCTTCTCTCGTGTAGGTCCGTCGCCAGGTCACTGTGGGCTTTAAAATGACAGCTTCTCAGCTTCCCCACTGAATAAGGCAATTTTAAGGACAGGTCAACCTTCTCTCGTGTAGGTCCGTTGCAATAACATTGTAGTATCCAAGGGGGTACACTCACACACATTCGGGGTCCACATACACACGCTCGTCTGTCTTATCGCATTTATTCAGTGGAATCGAGCCTCTTATGGAGCAGGGGTTTGGCTAGAGTTTTGTAAAAAGATATATTTAAGATTAACCATTCAACAGTGCAGTGTAACAACTCATCAGAAGTTGATATAATACAAAGCTCATTTATAAAAATTGCGAAAAAAAAACTAAAGTAATTTGACGTAACGAAAAATACAAATATTTACGGTAAAAGTGAAGATTTAGTCAACACATTAAAATCAATAAAAATGTACAGGAAACGCATGCATTACGAATATATGTACATTCAAAACACGGACATAAAAAAACAAACGTTTAATTGCCCTTAAAATCACAAAAAGGTGCCAGAACAAACGAAAAGAAAGTTCATATAAAATGCGTATATTCGTTAAACAGGTTTCTAAAATGCCCGAATACGAAATATAAACAAAAAATAGATTCAAGTCTTTCTGGAACAAGTTTGTTCATCTTTTTTAAATAAATGATTCAACAGTTAAAATTCACTTCAAAGATTTAGCTAATATGTATCTTATCGCATGAGGTTCTTAAAATGGATATTGTGCAAAAACTTCTCTTTGAATTTCTTGCCATAAATTAAAGAGAGAGCGAGAGAAAGAAGAGAGAGAAAGCAGACAGATCGAGTCAGTAACAGAGATTGTTTACCACTATAAAAGTCATTTGTACTTTCTTTAAAAGGGGAGTGGTTTCTAGTGGTCTCAAATGTCTTCCCTTACCCCTTTTTGGAGAAACCGCGGTTTCTAGTCGTTTCCCTATTGCTGGGGGTATGTGGTTTCTTCCCTCACCCTTTTTTTGTGGGGAACGGTTTCTACTTGTCTCCAATGTTGGAGAACGTTTCTAACCCCCTCTAATATATTTCCTTTCATTACTCTTTATTTTAGTTTCTTTTCTTTCTTTTTTTCTTTTTGGTTTCTGACTTTTCACTTTTTTTTTGGGGGGGGAGAGGGGAGTGTGGTTTCTCCTAGCCTCCAGCCTCTCAGGGTATAGAAAACGAGCCATCCCGTTCGAGATAATCATTTAATACATAAGCTGTACAAGCACACGAAGCCACGTCGTCATCCTCGAATTGAATCGTAATTAACTCACTCTTGCTTTCGTGTGATGATGCCTTGCGATCTCGTGCTGGAATTGAATTCGGGGGAAAACAATTAATAAAGATAAAGAGGCGATGATAACAATAACAATAGCAATAACCAAACTAACAATAACAATGATACAAAAAGACGCACGACTGACCCACCTTTAAGCGCAGGGATTCTTAGAGAACAGCGGAATCTCGCTGAAGTTGTGAAGCTCGCACGCCAGGTCCTTGTAGTCGGCCTCCAGAGCGTCGAGCACGACCTTCACTCGCACCTTCTCGCTGTCAGTGCAGCCGCCGCAGAACGTGGCTCCCTGGGGCCCGGGGGCGAGGAGGTCTGGGGGAGAGGGAGGGAGGTGTTATTTAAGTGGGGGGGAGCTGTCGGTGTGTTTTGTTTCTTTATCTTTTTGTCGCTATTCCTCTTTCTTTCTTGCCTCTCTCTTTCTCTATATATATGAATATGAGTATATATTCATATATATGCATATATATATGTATGTATATATACATATACACATAAGCATGTTTATATATACATATCTATATATACATATGTATATGTATATATACATGCAACCTTTCTCACCCTCATCCTCACTCCCTCTCTGTCAACTGAACAACAATTGAACAACTATGAACATCAGATGCCGAAAGCACAACTTACTACTGAGAGCGATGCCAACTTTGTTGCATGGGCCTGTGCCAACCACGCACTTGACGTAGAACTCAACATTGGAGCGGCTTTGCAGGTTCTCCTTCAACGCGGGCACGGTGAACTCCTCGAGGGTCTTGCGCGCTTCCAGCAACTTCTTGGTGTGTTCGGATTCTTGGGCAGAACCCAGGGAAACCGACAGCAGGGTTACCAACACGAAGGCGAAGGCGGACGGATGCATCTTCTGCGGGAACAAAATGGGACTTGGTTAGGATTCTCTCTTACAGGTAGGACTCAAAGAATATGGACGTGATGGGCGTGGAAAATCACACACATTGGCACAGATCGGGTACAAGAAGGGCTTTCAGACACAATGTGGCAAAAAGGGCCTTTGCATAGTTGTGTTCAGGTAGGCTTTCACACAAACAAATTACAATGTATACATACGCATACACAGGTACATAAACACACAGGCAAACACATATATAGTCAGCGACACATATTCAGATAAATTATGTATACACTGTTACAAGGACAGTATTAATGTGTGTATACGTATGCATACAAGTACCGTGAGTGCCACTGAATTTACGAAAATAGAAACACTTCTAGTGCTAGTAAAGTTAGGGAAACAATATCATTAGCTGTGCCATTAAGTTCTAGTGCCAGTAATGAGTTCTAGTGCCAGTAAAATAAATTCCTTGGAAGGAAATTCGTGATGCCAATAAGGAATCAGTCAGCGGTAAGAGAGAAGAAATAAAATTACAAAATAATATTTGCTTTGATATTACTAAACACAAGCTTAATACGATAAGATTGAGGCAGATCTTATTTTGAGGTGGCAAGTGATAATAGTGCAGGTAATCCTTTGGCAGTTCACACAGATATAAAAGTGTATATATGTATATAGAGAGATAGACATACAAATATAAGAAAATGTAGAGGCAGACATAAGAGATTTAGATAGAGAAGCACACACACTTAAATATACACACAAGCATACCCTTTCTCGAAGGCGGGGAGAAGCGTGCTTATGCTGGTGTGTGTCGCTGGAATATCCTCATCGCCTCCATGGGCATGCTTATATACCAATGCCCTTTCCAACGTATTTGGTCCGAGTGCCTCCCCCCCCCTTAGGATCTACCCACCTGCCCGCACATCATCCCCCTTCCCCTCCCCCACCCTCGGCCATCGCCTGTTTCCCCAAGATCCAACTGTTTTCTTCTTCTCTTTTTTCCTTTCTTTTTTATATATATCTAAGCGTGTTTTTGTCCTGTTATTGGACGTGAGAGTGACTGGTGAGGATCGGAAGGCCGGGTGAAGGAGAATACACGTACATAGAAAGACACATACAAGCATACATATATGCACACACGAACGCACATATGCATGTACTGCTCCACACGCACATACATTCACACACATACGAACACAAACAATCCACCCCCATCCACACACACACACACAGACACTAACACAACTGTATTACTCGCCTAAAGTTGACCCTGGCGATGACCTACGTCCATTTGCCTGGGTTGTCCATGACGCAGCGCATGGCACTGTTGGCAAGGAAGTAGTTGTTGGCAGTGTGGCTGGTGGCAGGGATACTCGGCCATTTGCTAGGGAGTTTTCTGTGACAGGGGAATAGACTTTTTGGGCAGTGTGAATGTTGGCAGGGGAGCTTGGGCATGAAGTAGACATCGGCAGGGAGGTTGTTGGCAGGATGTTGACAGCGTGAATCCGGAAGGGGAGCCTAGCCAGCTTGATTGTTGGCAAAGTGAGGCTTCGTTGAGTTGTTAGTAGGGGATAGTGGCAGCCAGCGCACTCTGCTGGTGTCAGAGGTGATGATGATGGTAGTTCAACCATGTTTTATCCTTGTTAAGCTGATTCTCGTTAAAAGATATGAGGGATATATGTGCCAACAAGACTTGAAAAGATATAGTATTACATAGACAGTCAACTTTTTTTCTCGATAGATTCAATTGTAAGGGTATCTGTAACAAGAACCCTCTTTTTTAGTGCATCGACTAAATGACGCTGCCCGTGAAGCGGTAAAAAAGAAGCACCATGGGTAGTGAGCCGTGTTTACTATACAAAACAAAAACAAAAACTTGCAAGCCCACTAGGAAGATGGGCTGTCTGTGGGTGAGTGACGCAGGTACTTCCATGCTGATTATGGCTTTGAAATGACACTCAGCTTCTCAGCTTTTCCACAGATTGATTCAATTTTCGAGACAGGTCAACCTTCCCCCCTGTAAGTCCGTCGCCATGTCACCGTAGGATCCAAGGGGGTACACATACACACGCCTGTCTGTCTTAACACATATATTCAGTGGAATCGAGCCTCTTATGGAGCAAGGTTTTGTCATGAGTTTTGCAAAAAGATTCAACAGTGTAGTGTAATAACTCATCGGAAGTTGATATAATACAAAGCTCAATTATAAAAATAACGAAAAAAAATAAAGCAATTAGACGTAATGAAAAATACAAATATTTACGGTAAAAGTGAAGAGAAGAAAACAGAAACCGCATGCATTACAAATATATATATATATATATATATATTAAAAACACGGGACATAAAAAGAAAACTTGTAATTGCCTTTAAAATGATTAAAAGGTGCCAAACTTCACAATTCACTAAGCAGCAAATGAAAAAAGTTGCCCTTTAAAGGATAAAAAAGGTGCCAAAACAAACTAAAAGAAAGTTTGTATAAAATGCGTATATTCGTTAAACATGCTCAAGTTTCTAAAATGCCCATATGCAAAATGTAAACAAAAAATAGATTCAAGTCTTTCTGGAACAAGTTTGTTCATCTTTTTTTAAATAAATGATTCAACAGTTAAAATTCACTTCAAAGATTTAGCTAATATGTATTTTATCGCATGAAGTTCTTAAAACAGATATTGTGTAAAAACTTCTCTTTGAATTTCTTGTCATAAATTAAAGAGAGGAGAAAAAGAGAGTAGAGAGAAAGCAGACAGACCGAGTCAGTGATAGAGATTTTTCAAATGTCTCAAATGTCTTCACCTCTTTTTTGAGAAACAGCGGTTTCTGGTTGTTTCCCTATTGCTGAAGGGAACGTGGTTTCTTCCCTTACCCTTTTTTGTGGGGAACGGTTTCTACTTGCCTTCAGTGTTGGAGGTTTCTAACTCCCTCTAATATATTTCTTCCCTCACCCTTTCTTTTTCTTTTTTTTCTTTTTTCTTTTTTGGTGGTGAGCGGTTTCTATCTCCAGTATTTGAATCCTTTTCCCTCACAATTTTTTACACCTATTTGTATATTTTTTCATTATGATCATTTTTGGTAAGGAACAGTTTCTACCTGCTTCTTGCGTTGGTCGAAGGAAAGTGGTTTCTAACTCACTTTTTGGGGGGGAGAGGAGAAAGCGGTTTCCATCTGCCTCCAAATGGTTTCTAACTTTCAATTTTTAGGGAGGTGGTTTCTCCTAGCCTCCAGCCTCTTAGGGTATAGAAAACGAGCCATCCCGTTCGAGATAATCATTTAATACATAAGCTGTACAAGCACACGAAGCCACGTCGTCATCCTCGAATTGAATCGTAATTAACTCGTGGTCACTCTTGCTTTCGTGTGATGATGCCTTGCGATCTCGTGCTGGAATTGAATTCGGAGAAAAACAATTAATAAAGATAAAGAGGTGAAAATAACAATAACACAAAAACAATAACTAAAACAACAATAAACATGATAACAAATGATGCACGACTGACTCACCTTTAAGCGCAGGGATTCTTAGAGAACAGCGGAATCTCGCTGAAGTTGTGAAGCTCGCACGCCAGGTCCTTGTAGTCGGCCTCCAGAGCGTCGAGCACGACCTTCACTCGCACCTTCTCGCTGTCAGTGCAGCCGCCGCAGAACGTGGCTCCCTGGGGCCCGGGGGCGAGGAGGTCTGGGGGGGAAGGAGGGGGGGTAGTTAAGTATTTTGCTTCGTGGGGGGCTGTCGGTGTGTTTTGTTTCTTTATCTGTTTGTCACTATTTCTCTTTCTTTCTCTTTTGCCTCTCTCTTCTTCTCTATATATGAATATATGTATATATACATATACACATGTGCATGTTTATTTGTACATATATATATATATTTATGTATATATGTATATACATGCAACCTTTCTAACCCTCATCCTCTCTCCCTCTTTGTCTCTCACACTCATTCTTACTCTCACTCTGACTTTATATCTCTCTTAATTCTCCAAATCCCCTGAACTAAACCACACTTGAACAACTCTGAACATCAGATCCCGAAAGCACAACTTACTACTGAGAGCGATGCCAACTTTGTTGCATGGGCCTGTGCCAACCACGCACTTGACGTAGAACTCAACATTGGAGCGGCTTTGCAGGTTCTCCTTCAACGCGGGCACGGTGAACTCCTCGAGGGTCTTGCGCGCTTCCAGCAACTTCTTGGTGTGTTCGGATTCTTGGGCAGAACCCAGGGAAACCGACAGCAGGGTTACCAACACGAAGGCGAAGGCGGACGGATGCATCTTCTGCGGGAACAAAATGGGACTTGGTTAGGATTCTCTCTTACAGGTAGGACTCAAAGAAAACTAGTGCTAGTAAAGTTGCGGCAAAAATATCTTTGGTTGTTCCAATAAGTTCTAGTGCCAGTAAAATTCCTTGGAAGGAAATTCGTGATAGCAGTAAGGAATCAGTCAGCGGCAAGAGAGAAAAAAATAAGATTATAAAACAATGTTTGCTTTGATATTACTAAACACAAGTTTAATACGATAAGATTGAGGCAGATTTTGAGGTAGCAAGTGATGATAGTGCAGGTAATCCTTTTGGTAGCTCACACACAGATGTAAAAGTGTATATATATGCATATAGAGATAGACATACAAATATAAGAAAAGGTAGAGGCAGACATAAAGAGAGGTAGATAGATAGAGAAGCACACACACACTTAAATATACACACAAGCATACCCTTTCTCGAAGGCGGGGAGAAGCGTGCTTATGCTGGTGTGTCGCTGGAATATCCTCATCGCCTCCATGGGCATGCTTATATACCAATGCCCTTTCCAACGTATTTGGTCAGAGTGCCCCCACCCCCTTAGGATCTACCCACCTGCCCGCACATCATCCCTCTCCCTCTCTCCCTCCCCCACCCTCAGCCATCGCCTGTTTCCCCAAGATCCAACTGTTTATTTTTTTTCTCTTTTTTCCTTTCTTTTTTTTATTCATTTTAAGCGTTTTTTCTCCCTTTTATTCATTTTTTCACGTGTTCTTGTCCTGTTCTTGTACTTGAGAGTGGCTGGTGAGCATCGGAAGGCCAGGGAGGAGAAGGAGAATACACGTACATGGAAAGACACATACAAGCATACATTTATGCACACACGAACGCACATACGTATGCACCGCCTCACACGCACATACATACACACACAAACACGAATGCGAACACAATTTACATGCACACACATGCGCTCGCGTAGATATGCAAACACAGCGATGACAACTGTATCACTCGCATAAAGTTGACCCTGGCGATGACCTACGTGCATTTGCTTGGCATATACGGAGAAATAATAATATTACTGACAATACCGCCTATCTTTTCTTTCTTTCTTTTTCTTTCGTAATATGATCTCCGTGAAACCAAGGATCCCATACCAGTCCATCAAGTCATGCGTAGAACTCTTGCCTTCCCTTAACGCTAACGAGGGATACAGGCGCAAAAGGACCCGGTTAACCCTTGTCAGTTCGAATTCCCTTAAGCGGCAGCATGGGGAGGAATTCAAATCGTTCATATGAGTTTGTTCCAGCGTGATAATTTCTTTCCTGTTCAGCCTAACCATAGAATAAAGATACTAAAATTGACCAATGGAAAAAAAAACTTCAAAATACAAAATATAGAAGAATATGCTATAGATATGTAAAATAGCTAAAATTGCCGCATACGAAAATCTAAAGGAAATTATATTCAAAATGGAGAGTCTGGCTAAAGGCCTTTACCACTAAAACGAAGACAAACCAGCTAAAAAAAAACAAAAAGAATCACCAAACCTAAAAAATTATATACGGCAGCATAAAACCCGAGTCTGGTGAAGCTAAAACAAAAAAAAATAAAGCTAAAAGATCACTTAGACTTCCTACAAGTAAAAAAAAGAAAAAAAAAAAAAAAAAAGTTTATTATTAAAAACAACACGTTAAAATTGTTCAATGAAAATGCTCTTAAGATCACGTCCAGCTCCTAAGCAAAGAATGTCAGGTGCATCAGTATTTATGTTATTCTCTTCCGTGATCGCCTCTCGTTGTTTGCTTAAAATAGAACGCCGCTGCCGGTTTTTTGTCACAGATGACTGAACGAAAACACTCGCTGACTTCTTGACCATCTATTTAATGTTTGAAAATCTTGTTTATTTTGTCTTGGTGACGTCAGAGGCAAACATTTTTAAAGACTATTTCCTTTAAATAAATATTCCTGAAACACACAAATAAAAACGGATAAAAGTAAAATGAAAAGCATAAAAATGAAAATCACAGAAAAAATGCAAAGTCACTAAAAGAAAGAATAAACGAAATGTATAAAAGTCACAGTAAAAAAAAACTAAGTAAAATCGAAACCTTAAAAGTTTATGGAGTGTCTAAAATACTAAAAAGGTTAAAATCTAATTTTTAAAAAATGAAGTTCATAAGAATATCTCGTTGTTGAAACCACAAATACAACAATTACAGACAAAAAAAAAAAAAACAAATGAAAAGGAGGGAAAGCTGAGGTAAAACAATACAAGCAAAATAAAAATAAGGAACTCAAAAAAAAAAAAACAAGTGACAGGCAAAGCGACCAGTCCTCCAGCATCATCAGCGGGAGGGCGGAGAGAACGAGATGCAGCATCCAAGACCACCTTATTTTTTGTTTGTTTATTTGTTTGTCTTTCCTTTTATGGTGTATGTCTACCTTTACAATCCATCTTTCTATCTGTCTGTCTCTCTGTGTATCTGTCTCTTAACCCCCCTTTATCTCTATTTATCAATCTATTTACATCTATCTCCAACTACGTCATTATTATTATTATCATTAACACAGATATCGCATTTTGTGGAACGAGTTTGTTAATCTTGTTTAAATAAATGATTCAACATCCAAAATCTAGTTCAGTTGTTTAGCTAATATGGTTCTTATCCCATGAAGTTCTTAAAATAGATTTTGTGTAAAAACTTTTCTTTGAACCTTTTGTAAGAAATTAAAGAGAGGGAGAGAGCGATAGAAAGAGAAAAGGAGGAGAGAAAAAGAGGGGAGAGGGCGTGAGAAAGGGAGAAAAAGGAAAGAGATCAAGAGAAAGAGGGAAAGAGGAGAGAGAGCGAGAGAAAGAGAAAAAAGAGGAGAGAGAGCGAGAGAAAGCAGACAGATCGAGACATATTTATATATGTAAGCGAGAGACCACCGCAGGCCACCAGATGTAAGCGAGACCTGAGATGGTCTTGGGCAGGTCACTGAAAGAGGTCTTAGTTTGGTGGTTTATTGCTGACGATAGATATGGGACCCTCCAAGAGACCCGCGGGTCGAAAACGCGGTGGTGGAGCTGGACCCTATTTGGCCTGTCTGCCGTGTCTCTTTCTCTTCGTCTTACGCACGTGCCCTTTTATGCGGCGGTTCCCTTTGAGGATGTTTATTCCTGTGCGAAAAAGAAATCTGCGTCCTGCCCAAGGAGAAGGGGAGCTGCTTGAACCATACGGTCTTGCTACGTATTGTTGACATCGCTCGGCCACGCGCAAGGCTCGTCCTCGAGCCGTCTGTAACACTTGAAACACTGCAGTAGGACATAGGGACACTACCTTACTTACTTGCAAGAAAAATGAGAGCATGATAAGGACAATTTGTCACATGAAGGATACCGTATCAAGTAAGATGTTAATTACTTGGATTTGTCAGGATTAGCGAGTTCAGTAGAGTACCGTCATATTGAAGAGAGAAAAAATGATTGGACAAATATTCCATATCTTTGGGCTAAATAGGCAAGTATATATGCTTCGAACACATAGGCAGCTGGGCCTGAAGTTAATTCTAACAGGACGTGTCTCGGGCGCGTTTCGGCGCTTCAATCGTATGAGCGGACGTGCGCGGCGGGCGCAGGATTCCTTCGTTTACAGCCATGAGCCGGGCTTAAAATTAATTTGCGGCGATAATAACTATGTAAGCCTATATACAGTATAGTGCCTGCAGTGCGTTACCAGTGTAACAATTATTTGCAACAGAAAAAAATACCATCAGTCAGATACAGGTCACATATTCACCAATACCTTAAAACTAAAGAAACATAAAGTCCATCATTACTGACGACAAGATATCGAACTGCGAGAGAACGTCATGAAAGCGATTTGGATTCAGATAAAAGTTATAGGGATGGCACTTATTAAAATTCATAATCCTAGAGTGAAATCAGCGTAGAGTGGGCAGGTAGGTAGATTAGAGGTTGGTCAGGTAATCTAAATTGTGTGAATGAGCGGCCGATTAGCACAGCAAGTATAAAGAAATTATGATATAAAGAAACACAACGATATACGTGTATATACAGAATATAACAATTTGCAAGTAGTAATAAAGTAATATTGTTTATGTGCATATATGAATATGTATGTGGAAGTCATGTCGAACAAATTGCAAGTAGAACAATGAAGGGAAGTACAGGAAAACACACGAATATGCCGAAGGCCTTTTCGCATTTACTGCTTCATCATGCCCTGATGAAGCAGTAAATGCGAAAAGGTCTTCGGCATATATGTATATATATGTGTATGTATATATATATAATGTGTGTGTTTTTGTGTATGCGTGTGCTTGGTTGTGACTATATGTATGCGTGTGTGTCCGTTTATATGTATGACTCTTCTCGTGAATCAACGGATGATGAAAAATATGAAAACGAAAAGTAAAAAAATAATAATAATAACAATGAGCAGATTAATCAAACAAACAAATCAACAACATTTTTTTCCTAGAAATGAAGTCTCTCTCCCAACAGCCCTCAGGCTAATACAGTGGTAACGTGTCGACTTCTCATCCGAGGGATCGGCGGTTCGCGCCCCGCCCAGGCGCGTGAAGTTGCAATTGTTGCCTGGGGGTTACTGCTGTGGCTTGGCACCGCGGCGGGTAAGGACTAAGCCGAGTCAGCTGACGCACATTAGCGAGTCGGCATTAGTCGACACAGACCGGGCTTCCCTCATAGCCCGGGCGAGGCTCAGCTTCGCATATTGGACTTATCGTTATTTCTCCCAATATATATATCTCTCGCTCTCTTTATATATATATATATATATATATATATATATATATATATATATATATATATATATATATATATATATGTAGAAAAAATATGAATGAGAATGAATATCTTGACAACACAAGAGATGTATTTGACCGGTTTCGATTATGTCTTCGTCAGAAATACATGATGTATCCTGTATTTCTGACGAAGACATAATACATCTCTTATATTGTGAAAATATTCATTCTCATTCATACCTTTCCTACATTTGTCAACATGAATACGGTTCATATATATGTGTGTGTGTGTGTGTGTGCATAAATGTATATATTTATATATACATATATAAAAGCAGTACACACACACGACGCACGCACACACACACATTAATATAGATATAGATTTCTTCATTCATTTCATTTTCTTCTTTCAGCTTCTACCCTCAGAGGTCGCCACAGCGGAATAATCCTCATCATAGTCTTGGCTTGTTTATACCGCCGGATGCCCTTCCTGCCGCCAACCCTCCCCATTTGCCAGGGCTTGGGACCCGCGCGGGACATTCCCCTGAATTGTGGACTCCCGTTATGTAGGCAGTCGAGGTGAAGTTCCTTGCCCAGGGGAACAGCGCGCCGGCCGGTAACTCGAACTCAGATTGTCTTGACAGTCTTTGAGTCCGATGATCTAACCACCATATATACATACACACACACACACACTCATATATATATATATATATATATATATATATATATATATATATAGAGAGAGAGAGAGAGAGAGAGAGAGAGAGAGAGAGAGAGAAAGAGAGAGGGAGAAAGAGAAAGAGAGAGAGAGACAGATAGAATGATAGAGAGAGAGAGATACAATGGTAGACAGATGCAAATAGATAGATAGAAATATAGCTACGCATAGATAGATAGATAGATGCACACATATATACAAGTAGCTATACTAACGGAAAGATATATATGTACATGTATACATATGTGTAAGTGCATGTGTATGTGCATGTTTATGTGTATATGCATTTGCTTGTATGTGTATGTGTGTATATATGTGTATATGTATGTATATATGTTTATGTATGAGCGTATGTGTACATGTATGTGTGCATGGGTATGTGCATGATTATGTGCGTATGCATGTACATATACATGTGTGTGTGTGCAAGTGCAAGTGTATGTGTATGTGTATGTACATGTATATGTGCATGTATGTGTACATGTATATGTGTATGTTCATGTGTGTGTACATGTACATGTATATGTGCATGTATGTGTACATGTATATGTGTATGTTCATGTGTGTGTACATGTATATGTGTATGTGCATGTATGTGTACATGTATATGTGTATGTTCATGTGTGTGTACATGTATATGTGTATGTGCATGTATGTGTACATGTATATGTGTATGTTCATGTGTGTGTGTACATGTATATGTATATGAGTATGTGTATCTGTATTCGTATGTGAACGCGTTCCCTCCTCCCCTTTACTAATATCATTTCATCCGCTTCTCCCAGCTATCAG